CAATATAAACAAGGTCTTCTGTCGGCTCTGTACATCAATGCCGACCTATGCTGACAAGTAAGTGAAGAGTAGAAAATATAAAAGGTATTGGCTATAGGGAAATGTCCCAGCAGTTTAGGAGAATGAAGGTTCTAATCTAATCTACTACATAGCCATTACATGTCTAACTCCTGATAATGACAGGAAGGCAGAAAGCACATTATACTAATAATAATAATACTACTCATAATAATAGCAGACATTTTTGAACAATGACCACAATATCATTATTTTAATAAACCAAATATGAACAATTGAGGAAAATGAGGAAGAACTGATGATTCAAATGTTGTAGTACAAGTAGTAATGTAGTTAGTGCATAAATTACTATGGCAACAAATGTGTTCATTTTCTTCATTATTAGTCGATTTTTTTAATGCAGACATATGTTGCAGGGACTACTAGAATCATCATACTGGCGTGACTGTAAACATCAAGGGGTCAAATAAAAAATTTTTTTTTTTTTTTTTGAGGACATTTCAGAATATCGCGATATATATCGTATATCGCGATATAGTCAGTAAATATCGCGATATCATTTAGAGACCATATCGCCCAGCCCTACTGTCAATATGAATGTTACTTCCAAATCCAACTAGCTCATGTTCATAAAGTAGGGTTAGGGTAAGACATTCCATTTTTATTTCAGTGCCCTTTCTCACTACATTCTTACCGTCTTCAATTGTATGATGTTGTTTACATAATATATGAATATTAGATTACAAATAATAAAGATTTTTTATGGATAGATAGTTATTCAGGTGAAAGTGTTTGTGGTTATGAAATAACTCTATCTTGTCCATGCGTTCTTTCTCTCCAGGCAGGTGTACGAGGCCTATAGGAACGGTAAAGGGGAGGAGGCCATGTCGTTTGGCTTTCTCTTCTTCCTCTTCAGTGGAGACTTGACTAGCTTTGCAGGCTGCTACCTCACCAGCCAGCTGCCTATTCAGGTAAACAAACACATGCTCTTTCATTATCTGTTTGTTTATGCTGTGAACTCAATGACAGGGCTGTTAAGTTTGACAGCCCTTTGTTCTAGGTTTAATAACCCTATAAGGAACCACTATAACAATATAAACTCCTTGACTCATGAGCCAGAAAATATTATTTGGTACATTTTAAGGATTTGGTTTAATTTGAAGGATGTTTCTTTTTCCATGTCCTCTCTCAGGTAATCACAGTGGTGTTCTACATCTTCACAGACCTGATCCTCATCTCCCAGTTTCTTTACTATAAGATCAAGAACAGCTCGAGCAGAAGTAAGCCACATCCTGACACATTAATGAAGAGCATAAGCATGAGGGAGGTAGTGTTTCCTGCTGTTAAAATCAATTATAATCTGACTTCATAGAGGACACAGGCACAGTTCCAGTTGTTATGTAATTACAGTGTGAGTTGTGACCACCAGAGCCAAAAGTGCATGACTGCCTAATGACTCATGTTGAAAAAAAACACGCTGTTTATACTGTATATGAATCAGAATCACAATCAGAATCACCTTCACTTGTCCCACAGAGGGGACTTTTACATTGTTACAGCAAAGGGAGGGGGGGCAGTATAGATAGAGACACAAATAAAACACTTTTAAGTCCAAAAAAGGCATGCAGATAATACAATAAAATACAAATAAGTTAGCAATCAAGGAAAACAAAGAGAAGTAGCAGTATTATGAAATAAGTGGAACATTTAGAAAGTAGCAGCCGGATAACAGTAGTAAAAGAAAAAGCATATATATATATTGCACACAGTATTTAAATACATATAAAAAGTATCAAGTTATCAATGTGCAATATACAAAAAAAAGATATGTATATAAAAATAAGTGAAAGTCCAATACAAAAAAGAAAAACAAGTTAACTTAAAATGTTATTTTACAGATTTGTATTACAGTATTGAATAGGGATGGGTACCGAGCCCCGGTATTATACGGGCCCCGGGGCTGAATTATTAAAGACCGTGGTACCGTTAAGCTCCGACGTTATCTCTCTTTTTATCCGTACTGGAGACGTGTCAAAAATATGTATTTTGCTTCACAAACATTATATTACAGTTTTAGTGTCGCCAACTCCGTTTCTAATATGCAAAAAGACTGCAAAATGCGTCTATGATTATTTTTAGTATTTTCGATATTTCCAATCCAGACGAGATATCTCTCTCCCCCGTCTGTGTGCGAGGGGGCGGGGCAGGTTACACACACGCAGCTGCTACATGCATGCAACACACACACACGGCAGAGATGGCGAGGAGAACTAAGCGCTCCAAGGTGTGGTTAAACTTTACCCGTCTCGATGTGGACAATGCTCGTTGCCAAAAGTGCAATAAGAGTTTAGCATGTAAGGGCGGTAACACGAGCAATTTGTCTAAACATTTAGCAAAAGTGCTCCACATCCAGACGGAGAAATGCACCGGGTTCCACTCTCTTTCTATCAGCTCTGTAGCCCCATCCACGAGTAATGTCAGGTATGTTATGTATGCTAGCAGCAACACACGGTTAACTCATTATACAAACATGGGTTCATGAGTAACTGAGTTATTTATTTTGTTAAAGTTTCAGCTATTCTGTTTACAGTTCTGTCATCAGATTATTTAATACGATTTGTTAAAACGTAAAAAAAATGTACATTTTGTTCACAAATTTTTTAGTTAGTTTAGCTTATTTTTTCTCTCCAAAAGAACCGATGAAAGTACCGCTAAAGACCGGATCGATAAGCAGTATCGATAAAAGTAGTAGTACTGTTAAAACCTTAACGATACCCATCCCTAGTATTAAATAATGCAAAGAAGAAGTAGCAGCCAGAAATAGGAATAAGAAAAGAGTACATATTATTATTATGTATTTCATCTTTTTAATTTTAATATAATAATATTACATTACTTTTGTTGTTACTTGCTGTTTGCTACATTTGAATCATGTCAGTTACATTTGTTTAGTGTAAAGCAACAGTTAAAGACATAATGTGTAGGAGCTGATAGTCATACTGTGTGATGTTGGGGGAGGTTATTATTTGTCTTTGTGCGTCTCATTGTGTGTTCTTTGCTCTTTGTGTGTGTGTTTATCTGTAGAAAGCCCCGTGCTGAAGTGGCTTTGCTTCATGTGGTGCGGCTCTGCATCATTAGTCCTGCTGACTTTACCCAAACTCATCGTAGACAACAGTGCTTCTTTAGACACCAAGGTTGGTAGATTGTCCATCCATCCATCCATCTTCTCCCGCTTATCCATGGTCGGGTCGCGGAGGTAGCAGTTCCAGCAGAGAGCCCCAAACTTTCTTTTCCCTGGCCACATCAACCAGCTCTGACTGGGGGATCCCAAGGCAGATAGATTGTGTATTGTATTTATGTGAATCTGTGTGTGTGTGCAGGCGTTGTGTTGACCCTCCTTAATATGTTTTCCAGAGTACCTCTAA